TGACCAGATGCTGATGCTTGGCTTTTCTGTGTGGTTCGGGGCAGGGACATGAGAAGCCTGGAATAAGGGGATGGGAGGATACATAAAGGAATTGCCTGGTTAACTAAAACCCACATGGTTCAGTTCAGGTGCTAAGTGATGTTGGGTGTGCTTAGAACTGCTTCTGCATTTGAATTTCATCCCTCCTAGGACTGGACCAGCCCATGTCCAATCACTGCTACCCATCCCTGAGACAAGCTCCTCATTGGTATGAAGCTACAGCTTGGATTTTCCAATGACTAATCCTTGTTTTTAATAATTCTATACCTTGCTTACCTGCCAGGTTTGTGGAGTTTGAGACTGTGGAAATGCAGGATCCAAAGCTTCAGTTGATGATGGATTCCAGTGTCAGACACTTCTAATCCCAAAGAGGAGGGATTATCTATCTAACTTCCACATTCTCTAGTCTTTGAGATTGTCCAGCAAGATAGAGCTAAATGCATTCCCAGAGGAATTGATGATTTAAAAAAGGTGACAATGGAGTCTACTGTCCCACATGTGAACATTTTTTTCAGGATAGGGCACTCATCTTAAAAGAAGAACAGCCCCCAAGCATTTGGGATTCCAGCTGCCCTTGGATATGAAGTGGATACAGCCTAGTCCAAGTTGCTATCTTCTCTCCCCCTGCCTATGCAAAGAGTCAACACACCATCTACCTAGGACATGAGTCTGTGTGGCCCACCTATATCAAATATTGGTATCTCAAAATGTCATCCCACATGACACACTGTCCCACTGGTGCAGAGTCTCCACTCATGGGTCCTGATGTCAGAATGTGCAGGGCCATCCTGGACCAGAGTATGTCCCTTGAACACTTCCCTCCACCAAATAGCTGGAGCACAGCTGGAACCACCCTGTATGCACCACCCTCTTACCCTCTGTCCTAGTTTGCACCTCCAGAAAGGCTGGCCCTTAGGCTCACCCACCAGAAGTCTAATGCTGCTGCTATCCAGAGACCAAGGTGCCTGACTAGACTCACTTGAAGCCATAACGGTATACATATGGACATCATGAACATCTGGTGGGGTCTCCCAACTTCACCATGAGGAAAGCCCCACATTTGGCCATGGAGAAGTCCATGGGAAACTTGGAAGAGAATGAAATTGAGTGACATCTAAAAGGGGACAACTTGTACCAAGAACCAAATCTCCTGCTCTACATTGATGAGCTGTGCTCCAAGAGGATTTTGTCACCAAGGTGGGCTAGGGTGGGAACCCAGGTCTATAAGACTTTGGGAAAGCCACCCCAGACTCATGGAATTATCCTTCATTCTTCAGATTCTCGGCACTGGGTGTCTGTTGGGTGGGGTAGCTATTGGTCTTGATTTAACAACCCCATGGTGTGAACCAGGAAGACATCATCAATGCCTCCTTTAAATATCATAGGTATCCTTGACTTGGTCACACTTCCTACCAAGGCCACACACAATCTCTTCTCCTCCAAGTGGAGGCTTTATGTACCATACCCTCATTACTTGGAAGTATTTCTTTCTGTAGGACTACACATGGATATCTGGATTCTAACCAAAAAGCTGGTAGGAGGAAGGACTCACCCAGCAGAGTGGCCAGCAAAACCTCAGTCTGACACCAAGACACGTGACACCTCCCATTCATATTTACAATGCCCCCCAGTCCCTCTGACACCCCTCATGCCCACTGCAGACTGGGCAAGTGCCATTTCCCTTCTGCAGCTGAGGGAAAATCACCCACTGCCCTCAAAGGAGAAATGATCCGTGTAGTTGCCCCAAAGTTATGTTGTGCCCTGAATAAAGTGCTTCTAAATCAGCTGTCAGCAAAGGTGTAGGGGACATAGTGATAGCACTGGATATGAGGCCTAAATGGAGATCTGTCCCCCCATGGGTCACCTCATAGGAAATTAAGAGATGCAGGGTCACACAACCCTAGGTCCTATAACGGAAGCACACTGGTATCTTCCTGCACGGTCGTGAGTCTTCCTCAATGGGTGCCATCCAGTCCTTAAGCCTCCCCTGGACCACAGAATCTCATCCCTAAGCCTGCGACACAAAAGGGCAGTGGGTCCCAGCAGAACTTCTCTTTTAGAGAGAGCCACATGGGAAAGCAGAGGTGTTTAGCAAGGAGGACCATGACCCTCCACGTCCCGGGCATCCTCCTGGATTCCCAGCACCTTCTGTTGTCCTGCGAACTGACCCAGACCAGGGCCTTCACACAGACCCCTTCATCCCTGGAGGGTGAGCACTACAGGCCCCTCAGCCCCAAAGAGGAGTCCTCATCCCATATCCCCCTCTGATTCCAATCTAGGAAGTGAGCTACAGCCTGACACTCAACCCATGTGAGAAAAGATGCCCTATTCTGAGTCTCATCTCCAGGTCTCTGGAGAGCAACATGTGGCTCTGCGGCTGATTCCTACTGCCCAGCATCTGAGAGGAAGTGTCATCCATCAGACCCTAGGGAAACAAGAAGAGGCATTGAAGACAGAAGGGTAGGTGTTTGGTAGCTGGTGTGCCCACCCCTCAGGTAGGATCTTGGGGAGATCTCACTCTCCCCACCTCCTGCAACACAAGGGGCAAAGATCCTTGTCACTCAGGACTGATCCTGCTAGTCCTCACAAAACGGAGGGCAAGGGGAGGGCACTGGGAATGTAGGAGGAAGGCAAAAGGTGGGTACTGGGATGGGAGAGGGAGAGAGGCGCATACCTGGGGCAAAGCTATACATCATGGGACTTGACTGTCAGAATGAAGAACAATAGTTTAGTAGGGACATGTTCTCATGGCTTCTGCCTTCTGCTGTGGAGTCTGTGCTACTCTGTGTGTGGGGTGAGGACTGAAAGGAGGAGGTATCTGCTGATTCCATTCTTTAGGGTGCACAGGTGCAGGGCCAAGCCCTTGCCTCCATATTTAGCCTACACCTTCCACTGATCCTTGAAGAAAAACAGATCAAAAGCTTAACAGAAACCCAGTCATCACCTGGGTCATATCTTTGACCTGATGCTGATGCTTGGCTTTTCTGTGTGGTTCAGGGCAGGGACATGAGAAGCCTGGAATAAGGGGATGGGAGGATACATAAAGGAATGTGCCTGGTTCACTAAGGCCCACATGGTTCAGTTCAGGTGCTAAGTGATGTTGGGTGTGCCTAGAACTGCTTTACATTTGGATTTGATCCCTCCTGGGACTGGACCAGGAGGTCCTGTTCACGTGACCTCAGTTAATTTAACGGGCCTTCTCTACACATCCTTTCATTAATGGGGTCCCTTAAACATCTGTTACCAACTGGCTGAGGGTTCATACATCCACCCGGAAAGCAACCACAAAGAGGCAGAGTGCACCTCCCTTAGTGTTAGCAGCTCTGAGTGTCATGGGACAGTGTCTCTCATATCTTAGAGATCATAGCCCTGAGAGTGAATGCCAGTGACCCCCAGCTCCTAGTCCTAGCAGCTATGCCACTGTGTTCCTGACAGGAGAAGCCAGCAGCTACTGACAGTTCCCTGGAACTCTTTCAACAGCCAGACCTAGCAGCTCTTAGCAGCTCTCCATTGCTCTCTGTCATTCCCTTTCATAACTGCCCTCAGGGTGACCTGACCAGACTGCTTTCACTGCCAGTTACCAGTTCTTAGTGCAACCAGATCCACCTGCTCTACTTGAGGTAAAAGGCTTGAATAGGTTATATATACCCATCTACTTTAGGCCTCACTAGGAGTTCTGCTGCACCACAGGGGAAGTGGTACAGGCACTTTTTACATACCGAGATGGGGAAGGAAGCACATTTCCCGTTTTAAGAAAAGAAAAGGTGGGCTCAAGCACACACAGTATCCTTCCAGATAACCATGGGTCTTCTCTGAGGTATGGATAGGGAAGAGGCTCCTAATCAGACAAGGAACAGCTGAAGCCATTCAAAATGGTGGTATCATCAAGAGACATCTAGAATAGACCTGTGACCAAAGAAAAATCTGTGTGGCAGTGACATAATTGGGGTTGACATGGATGCCAAAGACAGGGAAGACAATTTTTCTTTTCTTTCCTTTTCATTTTTTCTTTTTTGGCAGTACTTGGGATTGAACTCAGGATGTCACACATGCTAGGTGAGGAGTTTATCACTGACCCATAACCACAGTCCCCCCAATTTTTCTTAGATGCCTCCTGGACAGTGTTGGCCCTTTCTCTTCTGTCTCATTTAGAAGGAGAGCTGCTTTGGAGCCTTCAGTCTTCTGAAGCATTTTCTATCATTGGCCATGAAGATTGCATTCTTCTTAGATAGCTGTTTTCTGATCCTGTGGAAGAGGCTAGATAGCCAGGCTGGACAAATATTCAGCATGGCCAAGGCCTTCCTGCATAGGTGAACAAGGCTTGGTTTCTAGTGGAAGAAGTCATGGCACCCTTCGTAACTTCAACTAACAACATAATCAAGACACACTCCTCCTATTATCATGACTCCCCAGATGCCAAGCCAGACAGTCATCCTGCTGCTCAACTACCAACAAGTTCCAGCAAACAGGGGAGTGATGGACCACGTAAGTTGGAGCATCCGTCAGCACTGAGGTGAGCTGGGGCAAGCTGATCCATCACCCTGCAAGAGCCCCGCCTGCACACATGGGTGATGCCCACTGCAGAAGCACACTCCACACAGCCCTGCAGTTCAGACACACCATGAGCATGCACAATTCAATGAACTGAAGCTCAGGCTTCCCAAAGCATACAGAAAATTAATGTGAGGAAAACCAGAGTGGGATTTGGGGATAACCAATAGTGTTACTGCTTTTCCAAACCCTAATTTTCCTAAATTGAGACCAGTAGCTTTAGTATGTTTCCAAAGCTTAATCAGCATAAGTGGGAACACAACACAGTGACCCAAGGGCAATATAAACCCCTACACTAGCACCCTCGGGCAGAGAAAGCCTGCTATCAGGTCCCCTCTTGCACTGCAAGGATTCTCTTCCTGTTCTTCAATAAATCCTACCATTACACTCACTCTTCCTAGTCTGCAGAGTTCATTCTTTGAATCTGCAAGAAAGATCCCAGGAAGAAGGAATTGATGGTGAGCCACTGGGTTCTGCATTAACATAGAAGGGTATAACCCACCTTTGAGAAGGCCACCACTTCTTAGCTGCAGAGATCTGCACCTTACACAGACTTCACCTGCCAGCAGAAGCAGAAAACCCCCAGTGTCCCCTGCTAACAGAAGTAGAGAATCAACTTTCATCTTTCTGTGCCCAACCTGGGGCTTCTTGGGAAGGTTGAGTGAACCAGACTAACAAACTATCTCCCCATCTTTTTTTTTTTCCTGGAGTTCTATACTCCCTTTTAGAAAGCTCTCTTTCAAAACTAATGGACGCCTATTACCCACTTAAAATCCAATAGTGCAGCCGCTGGTCTAAAGCCACAGGTGGCAGACTTACTGGAGGAGGCTTGTTCAATCCCTTTCGTCACTAAAGGAGGAACGTTGGTCAAGCTCAGCTTCAGCTTCTCTCTGTGGAACACAACCAGGTCAGTAGATCAGTTAAGTGTCTGCTTCTTTCTTCCACTTTCAGACTGACTGGGCCCAATGGTGAAGGGGTCCCTCACCAGGTGTATTTTGGATCCTAACACAAAGTCTTCGTCTCATACAAGGTCTTTGAAAAAGAGGTAACACACAAATCCCCAGAGAATGAGCCAGGTGGTCTATTTATCCTCTTCTCTTCTCTTTCTTTTAGTCTCTCTCTCACACACATGCACTCAAACACCATGTAGATTGTTTTCTTATACCCATTGAGACCCCAATTGTTTCAACAGAACCCATAGATAAAGTTTTGGGGAATTTTCAAGACCTTAAGCACCTGTTAGGACCCAAAACCCATGTTGTCATTCGTGAGCTCTACCCAGATAAAAGGTCCCATTCTCTAGCTTTCCAAACCCTGCCACTTCAAAGAAGAAAAAAAAATGCACCCCAAACAAAGATTCTCAAGCAATATAAGATCCAATATTTGTGACAAATAGAACAAAATTTTAGTGGCCCCAAGTATGAGTATGATGGCAAATAGGAAAGCCTAAAAACTTCTTCAGGGCACATGACCCTGAGGGACATAGCTCTCTCTTAGCATAATAACTGAGTTCCTCCAGGACATACAATCCTGTCCACAGTGCCTCCACCATGGAAGGCAAAACATTACAAAAAAAACAAAACAAACAAAAACAAAAAACAGGGTCTATCATTTTAAGAGGGAAGTGACACAGGAAAGGAATTTTGGATCATGCATTACTAAGGGCAACTAATCCAACCAGCATATAAAGACCTCAAAATGTGGTCACTTGTGTGTGGAGGTTCATAGGTACTCTGAGTACTCTGTGTTGGCAAAAGCAACTGGCAGGATTGAAGGAGTGGTCACCCATGGTTTTCCAGCCCACAGGGAATTGAGGGATACTTCAATTTGACTAAGGCAATGGAGGGATACCAAGGGATGCCAAAGAAGGGATGCCTTCTTCCCCCTTTGTCTTTCAGATGGGTAATACTCCATCTGGCACAAGTACTCCTTAACTAGAATTTTGAAAAACTGGGATTTCTTTGACATTCAAGACTCTAAATAAGCAATGCCTCATATTTTTCTGTACCCAAGCTTGGCCTGAAAACCAGTTGCAGAGTGGGGAAAAATAGCCCCCTGAGGGAAGTATAAACTATAATACCATTTTAGACTTAAACTTAGATTGTAAAAGGGAGGAAAAAGATGGTCACAGGTACACTATAGTGTACAAGCTTTTTTGCCTGGAGGCACAACCCAAAATTATGCAACCAATGTAGATGAGATTCTTCACTCTTGGCTGCACGAACTGGCCACAGGAAAGCAGTTTCTCCTAGAAGAGGATCAAATACAATAAAACCTTTTTCTAAGCCTTTATGCCCTCCTTATTCAGGGTTGGCAACAGAGCCCCAAAATCCTGAGGGAACATAAAACCAGGAGGAATGTATTCCAGCCTCCTTCCAATGGTACAGGTCACTTTTTCTCTGTAAGGCTTGGGACAAATTAAGACTGACCTAGGAAGATTCTCAGATGACCCTGATAAATACACTGCAACATTTCAGGGCCCTAACCAAATTTTGATCTAACCTGGAAAGACATAATGTTGTTACTGAACCAAATCCTCTCTAGCACTGAACACTCTGTGGGTGAATGTTATATAGTGCAAATCCCAGAAGACCTACTCCTTCCAAATGAAGCCGACTCAGAAGAAACAGGCAGTTCCCCAGAAGGACCACAAACAATATGCAGACAGTCACATGGGGGTAATGGAAGGGAAAGGACTTTCAGAACTGTGTGCTTGAGGGCTTAAGGAGAACCCATACTAAATCTCTAAATCATTCCAAACTCTCTCTGATAACACAGGGGAATGAAGAAACTTCCACAACCTTTTTTAAAATTTTTTTTAGTTGTAGTTGGACACAATACCTTTATTTTATTTATTTACTTTTATGTAGTGCTGAGAATCAAACTCAGTACCTTGAATGTGCTAGGTGAGTGCTCTACCACTGAGCCACAACCCCAGCCCCTTCCACAACCGTTTTAAAAAGACTCGGGGAAATATTAATTAAACATACCTCAATGGACCCAAGTTTCCCAATGTAACAACTTAAAAAACAAATTCATAACTCAGTTACTGACATTTTGAAAAGATTACAAAAATCAAATGTAGAAAAAGACACTGAAACTTTTTAGATAGTCTCTTAAAAATTGTCACTCATCATGGAAGCATTAGACAAACTGCAGATAGGGCAAAGGGGCGGGAGGGGATGGGAGGAGCCATGGGAGTAAGAAAGATGGTGAAAGGAGATAGATATCATTACCCTAAGTACATGTATGAAGACACGAATGGTGTGAATGTAGTTTGTATACACCAGAGATATGAAAATTGTGCTCTATACATGTAATATAAATCGTAATGCATTCTTCTGTCAATTATAATAAATTAGAAGAAAATTTAAACCAAAAAAAGAGAAAGTCATTGGATTCTGAGAGTCTTAACCTAATCAGTGCATTAATCCACTGATAGGGATTAACTTGATGGCAACTGCAGGCAGGTAAGGGCAGCTGGAGGAGGAATGCTTTGGGGGTATGTATTTTGGGCTTGTTGAGCACAGTTCTCTCTCTGTTTCCTGGTTCTGTGCTCACAGCTGCTTTCCTCCACACGGTCTTCTGCCATGATATTCTGCCTTACCTTACGGCCCCATGGAATAGAGTCAGTCATCTGTGGACTAAGATCTGTGAAACTGTGAGCCCCAAAATAAAATTTTCCTCCTCTAAAAAAAATGCCACTCATTCTTTTACAATTGAGACCAGGAGGAGGAGAGAGAAGAGGAGGAGAAGGACAGAAAGAAAGGCAGCTGCCCTTTTGACAGCTCTACAGAGGGCTAATTCCAAAGGAAAGGTCCCCGGAGTGGTATTGGTCCCACCATAGCCTGCTACAACGGTGGCCAAGAGGGACATTACAAAAAAAAAGACTCCCCACAAAAGCAATGGAAGCAACCAACACTCTGTCCTATAGTGAAGGTGGTTGGACTGCACTCAGAGGCAAAGTCCCCAGTAGACCAATCTGTCACATCAAACAGTGCAACAACAGGACTAATGGGCCCAGGGAATCCTTCTCAGGTTCCCAACTACTCAGACTGTTATTTCCACACAGGAGCCCAGGATGAATGTGACTGTTGAGGCAAGGGAAATAATTTCCGTCTCTATACTAGAGCCATTTTGTCTGTCCTCCTCTCAAACCCAGGCTCTCACACTATGACCATAAGAGGAGTCTCAGGAAAGCCTATGACTGGATATTTCTCCCACTCTCTTATCTTCTTTTGAGATTATCTCTTCTCACATGTCTTTTTAAATTTTTTGGTAGTTGTACATGGAGAGAATGTCTTTATTTGATTTGATTATTTGTATGCACTGCTGAAAATCAAACCCAGTCAGGCACGCCAGCTAGGCAAGGGCTCTGCCACCAAGCCACAGCCACACCCCTCTCACATGGCTTTTTGATAATGCCTGAAAGTCCAACTCTAATTGTGGAAAGAGATATTTTAAATTACCTAGGCACCACACTTCTTATGATACCAGAACTGGTACTATGTCTGCCCCTAATAGAAATGGAGATTAACCCAGATGTCTGGGGTACATGGTGAAAAATAGGTGGAGAAATAGGACCTGCTCCTGTCCAGATCTATCTCAAATATCCTATGTCCTTTCCCCACCAAAACAGTATTCCCTTAAACCAGAAACTAAAAAATTATTACAAGCTATAAAAGTGACAGGGCCTCTTAAGACGCTATAACAGGCCATGTAATATACTGTTGGGGAATGGAGACTAGTACAGGACCTCAATAAATAAAGAAGTGGTTTCCATATATTCAGTGATCCCCAATCCTTACACCTTATTATCCCAGATTCTTAAACATTCCAATTGGTTCCATTTTAGACATAAAAGGCATTTTTCTGTAAACCTCTGCATAGGGATCCTCAGTATTTGGTTGTTTTGAGGATGTCTCTGACAAGTGCATCTAATTGACCTTGACTGTTCTACCCCCTGCCTCAGGAAGTCCAGAGGCCGGCAGGCCAGCACCAAGGTGATCTGAGGCAAGCCATCTGGTCACTCTGCAGCAACCCAGCCTGCACGAAGTGGGGTGCCCACTGTAGAACTTTTCCAAATGCTAATGATCATAAGTTTGGACAAATATCATTTGTACTCCTTCCAATTCATAAAAACAATAAATAATTCTACTGAGAAAAAAATTAAGTTGAACAATAGCATTCCCAGATGCAAGACAGAATTTTGACTAGCACTCCTGCATTTTAATAAATACTAAAGAAACCCATTTTAATCAATACTAAAGAAACTGTGCAATGTGAAAGAAAATGTTGCCAAGTGGTCGATTTCACTTGGTTAAATAAAGAGTAAAAACTGACATATTAAGATGTCATAAAATACATAGATACTTTTTTTCTCTTTATGAATTCAAGACATTTAAGGATGTATGAATTTTTTTAAGCATTTTGGTGATGGCTTTTCATGATAGATAGTTGCTGGCTCAGGGTGCCAGGGACATTATGGGGAGTGCTGCTAATGCAACAATCTGAGAGCCACTGGCATTCAAACCTCAGAGCTGCTAATACTAAGGGAGCTAGTTGTACTTTGCCTATTCATGATTGCATCTAAATGGACCCAAAGAAGCCTAAGATATGTGAGTATCTCCTCTCCTGATGCTAATTCTGAATTTCCTTCCTGCCCCATATGTACCAGGACATGTGGGTTTTAATGCTTAGTGGGTGAGCAACATGCAGAAAAGGCACAAATGGAATGACTTCCTCTGTAAGCAGCCAAAACAAGTGTTCACGCAGGTTTACTCATCTGAGAGTTCTTCAGTTCTTCCAAATAATGTTCTCTCTGCATATCACCACGTGAGCCTACATCTGCCTGGAACAGGCCGCATTTTCTTGCAGCAGTGCACTTTGT